ACTCTTGACAAAATCATTCTGCAGTGGTGTTCTATCTTTAGAGACTCCTTAACTTTAACAAGCTATTTTGTCCTCTGAGAGAAGAAAATTCTAGGGCTGACAGTGCGCGCCTTCACTTGCTTTGGGCATGACAGCACTCTTTCTGAAGCTGTAGAGGCTACAGTTTACATTAAGGGCAAGGAGATTTTGCAGACGATGAAATGTAACATCCATGAGCATCCACTCAAAGAGCCTACTGAGTGGTTAAAGTGCCGTCGGTAGAACGACAGGAGGATTTTCCATTTAATTCTTCCAAGAGAGCTATTTTAGCGACCCCCACCCCCGTCCTGCTAGTGAATCATGGTTATTCCTCATTGCTGTGATCTTTCAGTTTCTGGCCTGCTTGTCTTCTACAGAGATTCCTCCTGACCTCCGAATGGCTTGAGGCAGGTGAATTAGTGGGTTAATGACTTCAAAGCCTTTTGAGCACCTTAGATAAAAGGACCTGTCTCAGGTATTAATTATTGTTATTTTAAAATCTGGCATTATAGAATGAACCCATGTGCTGCTAGGCCTTAAGGCTTTGAGGGCCCTTTTGGCCTTCACACATCCAAATTACTCATGCCTAATTTCTTTTGGCTTCTATGCCACGACAACATCAGAACAACCAGCTCAGATATGGCTTTGATGAATCCAAATACGTTGATTAAAATGAGTCCATTAAAAATGGAGGTAAAACAGTCAAGAGACCAAATGCCATTTGCCAATCACCTATTTGTGTTATTTCCCTCTCACAGAAACAGAGCTGGAGGGCTTGTTAGAGGTCACCCAGCCTAACCCTTTATTAATAATTAACAATAAGGAAGCCAATATTGTGATGTGAGGAATTTAATAATAAGGAAGCAGAGGCCTGGAGAAATGAAAGGATGTGCCCAAGATATGGAACACTGGGGAAGACAGCCAAGGTTTCCGTCTCCTGGGCATATTCTTGCTGCTGTACGAGGCTGCCTTTTCCGACTCTTCCTGCCTATAAGGACAGGAGCTTACAGAGACACGAGTCCCTAAACGTGCTTTGTGGGTCATGACCAGAAAGAAAAAAAGAAATGGAATACGAGAGTATGACAGACACACTGGCTGCGTGAGGACGGGCTGTGTGAGACAGGACGCACTGGCCAGGAGCGGCTCATCTGTTCTTTTATTTCCTGGCATGCCCAGGGTGGCTTCATGCAGGCACAACCACTGCAGTTGTACAAGACTCCCCCTACCCAGCAGAGCCCTGGGCTTGGAGTTTGATGCCCTGTGGTGACTGTCTTGAAATTCTTAATAATTTTTTCTTTTTTTGAGACAGAGTCTTGCTCTGTTGCTTGGGCTAGAGTGCCATGGTGGGAGGCTAGCTCACAGCAACCTCAAACTCCTGGGCTCAAGCGATCCTCCTGCCTCAGTATCCCGAGTAGCTGGGACTACAGGCGCTTGACACCACGCCCGGCTAATTTTTTCTATTTTTAGTAGAGACAGTGGCTCCCTCTTGCTCATGTTGCTCTCAAACTCCAGAGCTCAAGCGATCCTCTGGCCTCAGCCTCCCAGAGTGCTGGGATCACAGGCGTGAGCCTCCACACCCAGCCAGCCCCATATTTTCATTTTGCATTTGGCTCCAGAAATTATGTAGCTGACTCTAGACATCTCATTCAATCTTCTTATATATGAGGCATAATTTGATCAATGTTGTATCAGGAGGTAAACATTGTACAGGTTAGTTATATATTGACATAATGTGCAGTTAGTTGTGAAATACCACAGCAATTGATCAGCAAATTGTCAGGATTCTCAACTGAGTATCATTTATGAATGTCGGCGTGTATTTTCAGAAAGGAAGTCATTCTACATTTTTTTCCAGTTTGTGACTACTGTAACATTTTAATTGAATTAGTATATATTTCCTTATACTGGATTGTTTTGTTATTAGAAGAAAGCAGATGATGTAAAAAAACACAGAAGTATGTTCAAGTTCAACTGCTGCATCTGGAAGTATAAATCTAACAATGCTGAAAAAAATGTTGACTCTAATAAGATTTTTTATTTTATTTGAGTTGCATTCAAAACAGGAAAAAAGTACATGCAAGACCTTATAGCGAATATCATTTAAAACGTGATTTTATAAAACATGCAAGGCTTATCAAAGATGACAGACT